CACACACACACACACACACACACACACACATACACAAATACATGTGTATATTTTTTTATTAATAGTTTTACACACAAAAATGGAGAATATGCATAAAAATATGGAATGGGGAATCAGATAGACTTCAAACGTTATACCATAAACAATAATTCTCCTTTAGAAAAAACTGTTAAAAACATATTAAAATAATATACATGTATAGTGGTTTTAATGAGAAGTGTATATAAGAATGATTCTGGTAGTATATTTTTTCTCCCATCAACATGTACCACTCTGTCGGCTTTAACAATTTACAGAACATCACACAAAAAAAAAATCATGTATAAATGAGACAAAATAACATTTAAAATCGTTTTTGCCTTATCAGAGTAATACATACTCACTTCCAACTCAGATAAACAGCAACCCGTTACATCATAAGAGTCTACTTAAATTTACATTTTAAAATATGTAAATTATAAATTGTCAATTTGGCCACCAAGATCTCAGTGACCCTTCCTCGCTTAACTGTCCACTTACTGATCGATATCAATAACATTTATTTACATAAATAGTGGCAACAATTGTTATCATAATAGTAATAAGTGATAAGTAGAATTGTAGAATATTATGAATATTATTTTAATACACTAAGTATAAAGTATTTATAAAAGGAAATCATATAATAAACATAACTATAAAAAAAAGAAAAGTACGAACACACTTTTGGTGTACTTTTTGAACACATGGTTGATTATTTAATTGTTAAATTATTTTACATTATAATTAATAAATATATTTTGGAACAATATATAAAAATTGAAAAAGGATTAGTAATGGATTAGTAATTGGATTAGTTGCATCAGAAAAATAATTATAAGCGAATATTGCTAGTCGACCTCAGCATCTTTGCCAATTATAAGTACAAAATATATATTGTAGTTATTCGTATTTCGAAGAATTTGAGAAATGATTTAGAAACGTAACGAAAATATTTTCAAATAGTTCAAGTACAAAATTAATAATTTTAATAAAATAATAACTGAACTTGGTTGAAGCTGTTGAAGGATTATATTTTATAATGTATCACAGTTACAGTTAATTTCACAAATTGTTCAGTATAAAATGTAAAAGTACATTATGTGTTATATTCCGGGTTTATGATATGCTAAATATTAAAATTAAAAATACAAAAGTGTGTTTATTAAGTCAATTTAATATTACATTAAATAAAAAAAGTTATTTTTACGAAGCAAGCAATATTAATCTAATGTTTATGATGCAGCCGCATCACTGCATCAGTATCCAAACCTTTAACCAATTCAACTATTTTTATTTACAAAAATAAATATTAGATTTTACAATATAACTTTATGGATTTTTTTCTCAAATCTTGAATTGTTAATTCGATTTTTAAAAACAAAAATTCCACTTGTGAAACTACTATGACTTATTTTATGAATTTATAACAAATACAATCTACACAAAAAAAATAATTGACTCATAAAAAAATCATATTTTGGTACGTTTAGTAGTTTTCTAGACATATATTGGTCATTTATTTTCATGGTTTTATTAAGATTTTATTTCGTATCAACAATATATTATATACAATAGTAGCTTAAGGGACATTTTAAAAATTATAAAATACAATTACGACTTTCGCACTTAACAATAATGTACAGAAATATAACGTAAACGTCAATGAATAAATATTGTATAGCTATTACTGAATTGTTAATTGTTCTGCATCCTGCAGCTTTACAGACGTGAACACATTTTAAACTAAGTTATACAATATAATATGATCAGCATTAATTTTTCAGTAAACATAAAGTCGTAATGTAAAACCTATATTTTCAATTAATATAAGTACCGAGGCTTCATATCCAAATAATGTTTTCTGATAACAATTCCAATTTCGCTTATCGATATCTGTCTTTTTTATTTAATTTAAAAATAATACACCGATTATATTACGTATAAATTATAATTAATTATATGATAAATTATTATGAATCATTATCATTGATAAAACGCTTATATTATACTCGATAGTCCACCGGTATTTAAAAATTTACGATTTTTAATATCGAACAGGGCCGTATTGAGGTCTGGTGGAGCCCCTGGCGAATCACTGTATTTGCGGCCCCCCCCCCCCCTAAAATGGGAAAGTTGCATTTTTTACAAAAAATCATTTGAGATATATAAACCATGTATAAAAACATAATATACAAGTTAATAATTACTAATAAACTTTAATAACTATTTGTGTTACTATAAAATATAAACAATCAATGAATTATAAAAACATGTAATCTGTTATACAATTGTGTTGGATGATTTTAAATTTATTTTAATACAATATTACAATGGTACTTTTTTTTATTTTATAGAGGCAAATTTATCAATGACATTATCACATTTAATTATTTTAACTACATCTTTTTCATATATCTTGAAAAATATTACATAAGTAGTGTTGAAATTTGCGCCCCTGGCCCATACCCTCTTGATCTGCATTGAATACGACCCTGATATCGACCTAAGTTTTTTTTCAATATAGTCACTTCATTGGGATGAGTAGTCCGTTGTGCGTCTCCAAATTGTGGCTAATCACGCTTTTAAGCATGCGTTTGTTGCACCTATTCAACATTACAAGTCGACTCATACTTATTAATATTATATGAAAAAACTAATTTTTTACAGGATTACTCTGATCTTAATCCATATTAATTTCTTAAATACTATTAGAAAGAAGGACGATGGTGTAACTATTTAAAAATATAAAAACACTATAAAAAACGTGGTAAATAGTACCTAACAGACGAAAACGGAGAAACACATAAGCGATTTGCTAAAAACAAATACTTAGTAATTCGGTGCGTTGTATTGCGCCAGTCAAATGTCGAACATGACAAGCAGAAGTCACACACTCACAAATATTTTTCCAAGCTTAATACGTGCTCAATAATCCAGCAGCGTGTGTAAAAAGTTATCGCAGAAAAACAACGGTTTCCCATCAAATGCGTATTATTTCGCCATCATGCGCAGGATAGTTAATAGTACCTGTATAGCTATACTAAGAAAATGAAATGAGTACAAGAAGAAGCGGTCAATGGGAGCAACGTTATGCGCGGATATTGAATTTACTCGTAGATTAAACATTATACTTGGTATTAACAATTATTGGTTTACTATTATTATCATAAATAAAACTTATATAATTTAATTTTTATCATACTAAATTAATTTATTTACATTTAATCATTTCAATTTTGTTTTTATATCAAACATTTATAATGTTATACATCACATATTTTTAAAACCATAAGGTAGTTTACGAGCGTGGCACTTGCCCTCAATGTCTCCTCCCCTGAATCCGCTCTTGCATTAAACAGTATGTCTTGGTACCTATAACATAATGGTAAATAATAAATAAAAATTATATTTGGACAAATGTGGATAAAATTACATTTTTTTTTTCGAATTGAAAATCGATTTATCTTTAAAATCTATTACAATTTTATTAAATAATATCGATTTTCATTAAATAAAATTTTAATTTTAATTTAAAATATCGAAAACAAACATTTAATGAATTTAAAACCAATCGGAATAACCAAGTATTGATATTTTTATAGGTTTTTAAGTCTGGGTTAAAATATATAGTGACAACATTGGAATTGATAGGAACGATATTTATTGTTGGAAATGACTATCATTATTTCTTGTAATAAACCTTATGTCCTTATGTCGTCCAGTCGTTTGGACCCACCGAACCAACGACGCCATCAGTAAGCCGCTATTCCGCTGGCCGACGCCACTCGTTTAAACGTATACAATAAAGGTAAAACTATAAATTAAACGTGTTAGATATTGCCAGATATGTACGTATTCGGTGGGTTAAGAGGCAGTAAACGAAAACGAAGACGCATCTATATAGTGGTTTGTGTTTTTTATGGTACGACACAATGTCGATCTTGGGATTAAGTACATGTACAGTGCTCCTACACCCTAAAAATGAACTTATTACATTTCTACGCACGGAAAATATAAATCATTGTTCCACATAGTAAGACAGTCATGTATGTTAATAGTCTTGTGGACTTTGTTATATTTTATTAATGCTGCGAATGGAGATAACAAGTAATTTAACGTGTACAAATGTCGAAATTATTTTTCGGAGATCAGTCTTAAAATCATAAATATTTTGACTACGTTCAGGCCAATCTCAAAAATATTTTCTTTTCAAATAACGCACACGATACTCTACGCACGTGAAAATTATATACCGCATCCCAAGCTGGTATGTTAATTAGTTTATAATGGTATGAAAAAAACATTGAAAAACCATATAACATGAACACGTCTAAAGTAAATACGAATTACAAGTACGTGAAAATATGCGTCATTATGACTATGGACATTGGACCGATTACGATTCATGGAAATCGTCAAGATGTTTCAATATTTTTAATGACCCTAATTAAAAAAAAATTATGTATTTTTAACGATCGAATTGAACTGTACCTAAACAAGATTATTTTTCAACGGACTGGTAAATAGAACTTCTTGATGTACGATAAACGTTTCATTCTTTATTTTTTCTGACAGGTCAATATTTATTTTGTAGACTGAAATGGAATGTACATTTAATACATTTTACCATGCATTTGTTTACCATTGACATCGTCGAAATATTTTGTGT